AAATACTGCTCCGGGGCTGCAAAACATGGGCTGTTATAATTTAGAATAAAGCTGAGTTAATGCACATTGTCTAGGTTTGTCTATTTTGACACAAAGGTTTCTGGTTCTTTCTTTTAACTGAAGAGTTTATAGGATCAGCACAGCAAAGGGCTTGTGCCTGCACGTGTGTGTGCATGAATGTGCACACACACACACACACACACACACACACATGAGGACTCAGGTGTTTCATGCCTCAGGAGACGAGTGTGCATATTTGTGTATATTCATGTAGCTAGCTTTTCTTCTAACATACCTAATATTTTCTCAGGACCATGAATTTCTAAGCCTGTATTTGTGGCTGGTATGAAAAAAACCCCAGTAGTTTCATGTCTTATCACCTGCAGTTGGTTGCAGCCTTTATCTAAACATTCGCTGTGGGATGCAGCAGGGAATTATACTGGCAACTGCCATTAATCTTCTGTGTAAAAGAAGTATCTCCTATATAAGCGTTGGAATAAAACCATTTGTCTGGTGAATGAGGCACAACTAAAAATTACCCTGCTGCAGAAGTAAAAATCCTCTCATGATGATATTTTTGATTATGGACTAGCCCTGCCATAGCTCATCATGAGAGGCATCTTTAACAGTAAGCCTTTAGATATGGAGAAGTTTTAATCTCCTTTTGGAACATACTACTGCTCTTCTGAAAGTGCTCTAACCTAATGTTACGTCGTAACACTGCTGGTGTATGACAGATACACCTGTGTAAATCTCCCTTTGTACACAGCACTTGACTTTTGTTCCCTTAAAATGCTTTGGGGTCTCACTGCTCTTCTCGTGTCCCCTGAATGAGCAGGCAAGCCTTGGCCTGGTGGTGTCCCCAGCCTGGTGAGGAGCCTTTGCCACTGCCATGCTCCCCAGCTGGATCACAACACCTCACGGGTCAGCTACTCATCAGTTTGTTGTCTGCTTCCAAGTCTGAAGAGAAAGAGCTTTTGTCTTGCTGAGAGGAGAGCACCACTTTGGAGATGAGCAAGAAACTTGGTCCTCCCTTGTACACAGTAGTGGTGAGGAGCGAGCTGTGGTGGCTGGGAGAAGTAGAGGAGCTGACTGCAGCTCCATGGCAGGTAGGCAAGCAGAAGTGGAAAGTCCATGTGTGCGAGGGACCAAACCATCTTTCTGCAGCTTCACAGAGGTCTAATTGACTGATTTCCTTTAGCTTGTCCTTGCCTTAATAAAACAATGTGTTCTCATAGCTCCTCATCTTATTTAATGTACTGGTTTATTTAATACTTGTTGCACTTTTGGACATACCAACAGTTTGGGGTGAGGATGTGGTTATTCCTGAAGATGTTCATGTGGAGAAAAACCAACCTCTTCCATTCAGCAAGAAAGACAATAAAAGATTGGTTGTTTTTTTGGTTTTGTTTGTTTGCTTGTTTGTTTGTTTTTCCCCTGTATGTGTGCATGTGTGTACATGTGTGTGAGAGAGAGGAAAATCTCACAAGTAGTGGATTACTTATGTCAACAAATAGGGAGAACTCGCTTGAACACAGCTAGTAAAAGCCTGTGCCAGGTATTAAATAAATGGTATATCCATCATAATGCTCAGATAATAATAGTAATAAAAAGAAGTCCCTACACTGGTAAACAATTACCAGGTTGACTAATGTGAGCCTTGGGCTGGGAAGCAGCAAGGATTTAGGCAACAGGCTGAAACAACAATTCCATGTATTTGTGACGCACCACTGTTCACTTCTATAGCTACAAGATTTCCTTAGATTTCAACCCTCCCTTCACCACGAGTGCTTTTTATCCACGTTTTTTGGCACTATGAGCTACTAAATATGTGCTGTAATCGTCTTCCTTAACTGATAAGCAGTATTACCAGCTTACAGGGATTCCTGTACGAAAGCATTGTGTCTTGGTCTCAGCAGCCCTGTTTTTCTTACAGAGATTTATGGCACTTTCTAATGAGTTGATATGCTTGAAATGAATTCCCAGGGAAATCTTTAAGTGGAGCTGAGTCAAGAAGATTTATCGGGTTTCAGCCTGACTGCACACATGTGCACATGGGCAGCTGAAATGGGTCATAGCCAGCAAAATGTCCCCAGGGCCTGGGCATGCTGCTAACCCCCCGCTGTGGGGCTGGGCACCAGGCTGCTGCTCCTGTCTCCTTCGTGAGGAGGGGTAAAGCACGTCCTAGCAGTGGAGTTAATACTGCTGTCCCCTTGGCATAAAGCTGGTGGTTGGCTGTAACTTAAGGGCACCCTGATGTAATGTAATGCAGCCTGGGTTGTGCCCACCTGTTAGCACTGATGGGTGCAAAGCTTGTGAGAGGTGAAGGACAGCCCACCGTGCGTTATCTGCAGGGCATCGGGGTTCAGGTTTGCCTGTCGCAGCCCCAGCTTTCTGGAGTTGGGGCATGCCTTTGTGGTTTTGCCTTCCCTGCTCCTTCCAGCACATCGAAGGGGTGAGGCAGCATGCAACTGCTCTTCTGCCTCACTCGTGCACCCCTTTTGTGACATTCCAGTTCATTTAGGTGTTTAATAAGAACATCCACAAGCCCCATCCACCTGGCTCACGGCCAGGCTTCAAACCCAACAGTCTCCTCATGTGCAGCCAACTCCTGTGTTAGTGATAGGGAGAAAGCTGTCCTCCCTCTTGCTTAATTGAATTAAATAGGAGTCATCTTGTCACTGGTGGTTGCTGTGCTTTGTGAATTGTGTAATCTTCAGAGGAGATTTCAGCACAGCAAGGCACACACCGAGTCACGTACGTAGGAGTGAATTCAGAGTGACTCCAGTCTGGGACAGTAGATGTGGGATGTGTATTTATTTCCTCTAGTGAATGAAACGAGGAAATTCCCACCTCCTTTAGCAAAACTGTATACAAACATATGCTGATTTTGCCTTTTTATTTTATTATTTGTCATTATGTTACTTCTGGCATCTAAAGGTAGCTCAAAGACAGCATCATGACACAACTGAATGGAGTCTGGGTATTAAAACCTACTTGTGTTTCTTAGATATGAGACAGGATGCGTGTGATCAATCTCTCCGATGGGAACGTGCACTTTCCAAAGCCCGAAAGGAGAGGGGTTTGCTGGCATTACGCCTGGTGGTAAAGGAGACCATCAAGTGCTGGATTGATCAGCAAAGATCAATCTGATCTGAGGCTCCCTTCTGCGACCAGGCAGAAAGCGTGGGGCTGGCAATCTCTGGAAAATGCCAGGGAGGTTCACAACCTCAACGGGGGAGAAGAATCCAAACCAGGAAGAGCCACTTTTTCTCTTCCAGCCAGATCCTGCAGCAGAGGCCGAAGGCTGCTGGAGAGGAGGTGCCTTGGGTGAC